ATCCCATCATCTGCATCACAAGGGTTTGATTATCTCAAGTGTCAGTTCCCCAGCCCTCCACAGAAAGGTCAGTTCTTGGGCTCTTAACCTTTATGGCCTTGGAGCCCAGCTCAAAATACCGTTTTTAATGCATACCATTAATATAGGTTACAGAGGAAACCATTGTATTGAAAAATATTTATCAAAATATTACAGAAAACAAGTTGTAACGTAGTAGCCTATGTTCTTTATTAACACATGAAATAACAAGGCCTGGAAGCAGAAGTGGTATCTTCTGTAATTTCAGTGTAGGATGCATGTCGATATTTTAAGGTATTTCACCACCCCAGTGAAAGACCTGAGTTCACTAGGAACAAAATCAAATCATGCTGAGACTACAGTAGTTTGTTGGCTACATTCATGTTCAGTGGAAATACTACATTACAGCCGGAGATGGATGAAAGAAAGATGGGTGTTTTTCCCCATTCAGGTTCAGACTGGCTGTCAGTTGACCCCCACATAAGCGCCCGGGCTCACTAATAAATGGGGTCTTACTTTTTTCAGTTTTCCCCCCCTTCATTTCCTTGAGCATCTGTACGCAATACATGTAGCTGGGTTAACTGCAAAAATTGAGAGTAGTGGGCATTACTGAGCAGAAACATGGTTTGACTCCACATTGGCTTCCAGGTATTGGGAAGCCCTCACAGTTCTAAATTTCTCTGATTTTTGTTAGAACCACATTATGATGATGATAACTGCTGCAGACTTACGAATCCACTTCCACATGCTGCCTCGTGAATACTGACAAGTGCCCTCCGTTAGGCCACGTTAGCTCACATTTATTTCAGCGGTGAGAAACCGAGCCGCAGGGTTAGCTTCAGTCCGCAGAGCCCGCCCCAGCCTCGCCCCTGCGCCCCGCCTGTTCCCCGTCAGCCGCTCCCGGCCGGCCGCGCCCTGCGCCTCTCACCTGGTCCGTCTCTTTTTGTTTCCCTGTGGGCAGAGATATCCAGCAGGAGGCCTTCCGGGCCAGTCACGCCCACTGGCGGGGCTTCTCCTTCGTGTACAACCACTGCCTGTTCTCCGGCTGCTTCCTCGTGGTCCTGCTCGCCATCCTCCTCTACCTGCTGCGGCTCCGGCGCATCCACCGGCGCGCGCTCCGCGGCGGCGCGGC